AGTTATTTTCTGTTATTTTCTGGTATTATTTTGGCGCATCAGCTGCCGGAATATTACGTTCTTTTAGGATTTTTTTTTTTTTACGGTGTACGTTGCAATAGGCCTAGGCTGCTGGGGCTTCCCATGATGCACTGAGTGTTTCTTCTTCATTCACTACGTGTCTATACACGTGCAGTTAATCATTAGTTATCAGTAGTCTCTGGCTCTTTTACATAACGTGTCTTTGTCCTGTCCTTCCTCCCATCACCCCCAACAGATCGTGCAGAAGGCAACCCGTCGTGAGCCTTGTTCTGGTGGCGGTTTCTTCCTGTTTAAGGGGAGTTTTTCCTTCCCACCATTTCCAGGGGTTCTAATTGTTTCATCACTAGAGTTATAGCTCAGATATTTAAGGTCTTAACCTGTCTTAACCAGTAAATTACCTTGGCATTGTTGTCATAAACAGACATTTTTTTAAGACTCCAGTGATTAGCAAATTTTACACCAGGTGGAGGCATAGTGTGCTGCCACAAAAGCCATGATAGAAAAGCTTAATAAATAATGTGAAGAAAAAAATATTAGATATATAAAACTAAAGCTGTTTAGATATCTTTACTTTGCATATTAGATATGTAAAGTAAAGAAAACTGTTAAAGAAATGTTCCCATTCTAACCATCAAGCCCCCAGCAAAACGTAATAAGACATGAAAGTCAAAATGATAAGGAAGGTCTGAACATTTAATATTCAAGAATTAAATAAAGCAATGATAAACATATGAGAAGGGAAAAAAACCCCAAAAAAGCAAGCTTGCGCCCAGACAAACGCAGAGCAGGAGATGAAGCATAGCTAAATATGTTTTCACCTGCACAAGTGCCAAGGTAGGTCTCCCCTGCATAATTGGTCTTTCCTTCGTCGGGAGCATGCGCTGGGCTCTCCAAATCACGGACAAACAGTATCCCACATTCTTGATTTTTAGTTCACAAACACTTCTTATAATGACTAACTACTCCTGACATTTTGGAGATGTTAGCTCTTTATACAGCAAAGTTACAGTGGGATACAAATAATATCAGGCTGATCCTGCCATGATTTGTTGCCCCTGTCTAAATCACGGACAAACAGGATCCCACAGCTGTTTATGCTTTTAAACCCATTTTGCACAGAGAGGCATTTTTTGAAAAATGTATTGACAGCAATGTTGAATATTATTCACACAGGAAAAAAAACAACTACACGTAAAATAATCACATCGTGACGCCTCTGCCTTTCTAAACGGAGGGACAGTAACTGCGTGTATATGTAAGCGTGTAAAACCTGAAGATAATCAGATTAACAGTAACAGTATTTTGTCTCTATCTGCCATTCTGCAATTCATCTCATGTAAAGAATAACGTGGCGCGCAACGTGCTTTGACGTTGAGTGATGAACCCTGTATTCCTCGTCCACACATAAAAGGAGTTTTAAAAAATCTCAGTTTTCAGTGATTCGAAACGCCGTTTACGTGTGGACGAAACAGCTGCGTTTTCAAAAATACCCGTGTAGGTGTGGACGTAGCGTAAAAGAGTTAGTAGTTTATTTTCTTACTACCTGTAAGTTATTGCAGATTACTTGTATTTGCTTAATTGTTTACTAAATGTTTGAGGTGTGAAATAAACCGCAATGGAGCAAAACATGGGTGTGTGTGGTTGGAGGATGTGTTTGTGCGTGAGTGCGTGTGTGTTCTTGTAAAACAAAGGGGGGCCTTGCAAAAATAGTTTGGGAACCACTGCATTAGAGCAAGTGACCTTTGAGAGGAACCAGAAAAGAGGCTGAGTGGCAGCTCTGTTTGCTGCTCTCTTAATGCATCTGTTGTTTCAATTCTTAGCAGATGTCAAAATATTAGAAGTTCCTAATATTACAACGAAGTATTGGTTTAACACTGGATCATTCACTACAGGGAAACCTCCACCACCCTCACTTTCTGCCTCTGTACACACACTAACAGCATTGGCACTGAAGTCTCTGCAACTGTACACACACTGATGTGTACGGACAAATACATATGAGCCTTTTCTGACAAAGTGCACTGCGATCCACTTTTTCACAAGCTCTGTGTGACTCGGTCCAAATGAACTGGTGATGTAAAGGCTGCTGAGAGAGTTGGGTGGTAAAGCTTAAAATCATTCTGGACAGTCAGAGAAGGAAAGAGTTCTGGAGTCATGCACTTGGATGTTTTAAAGGAAAAGGAAAGATCCTGTGAGCTGTGGTAAAATATGAAAGGTTTTCAGACTTGCTGGAACATAAAACAAAACAGAAATCAATGGAAGCTTTTAAAAAAGTCATTGCCCAAAATCTTCAAACTGAAATGCTAGATCTAAACTGCGTTTCCTCCAATAGCGTTTTGTGACTGAACTGTGACTGAGCTTCCCCCTCTATTTCCACACGCACACACACACAGCGTTCTCCGGCTCCTAATCCCTCAGGCTAGTTTTGATTGTTACTTAAATCTTTGTGTTCCTTCCCTCTGAAAAGACAAAAAAATCCCCCCACATTTTCCACTTCTTTTCCTCCTTCCTCACTCAAGTGTTTCTATCCATTATGCGCAGTGACATTCTTTGTCTGAAGGACACTGGCGTTGAGCCAAGAGGCTTCCGCTGGGCTGGCCGAGGCGTTTAATTGAAACCTTAAAAGAACTTTCTTTTGGCACAAAAGCCCTTATGTGTGCTTTGTCACAATTAGATTGACCAGAAAGGCCAGCAGACCTGATAAAAAGGGATTAGAAAAAATGCTGGGATATTATGTTCAGTGTGACATGGCCGCTTGTGGAAGAATTAGTGCAGGCCTGACTCGTCCTGGATTAGTCAGGCAAAAGGACAAACCTGTGATTAATGGAGTGGTCAGAGGCTACACTTACAACCCAGTTTCACAACACCTCCTGCACACCTCCCATGGTATTGTAAACTGTCCCTCTCGACTGCTGTCCAGCACAGCACCTCAGAACAGCAGGGTGCAAATTCATCCTGTGAGGTCGCCCACTGTGAGGGTGCAGAGTTTGGCCTAAAGGGGGCGACACAGTCAGGTTGCCAGGAAAATCTGTTACGTCAAACAGCCCAGTGTAGTCAGCCCCAGTCAGCAGGGCGCAAACTGGTGGAGTTAGGTGCCCCCACCCCCAGACCAAAATATGATTTATGCCAACATGGGTGGTCCAGGAAAAGATCAGATTTGACCATCCTCAATAAATCACATTGTTCTATTAGAATTACAATATGGATAAATATACAATATAGATGCAGTGCCCAGGTCCACAGTTACCACACACTGATGGTGACCTAGGCTAATATAATACATTATAATACAACAGCATGTTCTATACTTTGTTATTATTTTGCCACATTATTTTATTATGACTTTTTTTTTACATGCTTTACAGTAACAAATTATTACCTTTTAAATATATAGCAATTAGAATACAAAAACAGACATTTCTGAACAGCTATAATTATCATAACAAAGTAAACTTGATATTTATTCCTAAACAGAGAAACAAATTTTCTAAACAATGAAACACATATTTGTAAAATTGATATTTGTTTATTTAATGCATGTCCAACACGTAATTAAAGTAATAACCAAAACATTTTTTACAATGATTGGGCTTTGAGCGTGAATTTAAAACTTTGGTACAGTATTTTGTAAAAGTTTATAGTACCAGGAAATGTGGAGGTTTTGATCAGGTCTTAGGTGCCGTAAAGATTTCATTTAGCTCACATCTTGTTATAAATGTTAGTCCGCTCCAGGAATAAAGGCAACCTGTCTGTTAGGACAGCCAGAGGTTTAAATTACAGTATAGGGGGAAACAATGATTTTAAGAATTCACGTTTATGTTAGCACAATAAACTGATACACTTCAGTTAATGTAGCAACAAGACAATCAGAGCACTTTTTAAACAAGAAATTCTCTCAAGTTGACAGATAAAACAAGACACACAGTTTAATTGAGTGAACACCATCATGAGGACAGATACTTCCTTCCACAGTATGAAGCCTCTGGGTCCCTGTCTGTCCCAGAAGGGTTAGATTGGGGTGAAGTGCCTACTTGGGCGAAATATTTTGGGTAACTGCCAAAGTGCCCAAGTGCCGTTTAAGATGGCAAGCATTTGGATTTTTAACAGAGCTCTGTGGGAGAGCTGACTAAAGGCATCCCATTAATAACAGAAATATAAATACTGCACATGACACATCCCAGATCTGACTAGCTGCTGCCATAAATAAGAAGAATCAAGCACACAGTTATAAAAGAGGAACAAAAGAGCCTGGCACAGCATGACAGACTCACCAAACACCCACATTTTAGTGGTCAGGAGTTCAGGTTTTTCCCTTTGATGCCCGAATGGCTGAACTTTGATTAACAGTAATATTTTTATGTTTTGGAAGTATCAGGACACAAATTGGATGGCATTCTTCATATTTCATAGACTGACAAATTCTTTCTAACTCTATTTTGCTCCTGGCTCTTAAACGTCATGACTCTTTAGGACCTGGTCATTGCACAATTGCACAAAGCCTGTACACAATTCTGTTAACAATTCCAACATACAGACATACCAGGAAACTGATTTTCCAAACATGCCCTGTTATACTGAAGCCCTGCATGCAGATCATTTTCCTGTAAACCTACTTTACAGTGACATTACTCTGAGCTTTGGTACACAGCGGGCCGCTTCAAGGTGGATTAAGGCTTGCCGCTGTGAAACCAAAATTATTCTCAGCTCCATCATGGCCCTAACCTCAATTCCAAAGCACTTTAAAAATAGGCAATAAATAGAGCACTGTTACATCCAAGGACCCTGCTTAGCATTTCACTTTGCAGTCACACACTTTTGGCTAAAGATGTGTTTATGTAGCTGAGTCCTGTGTGATGTTTAAGGCTGTCCTTGGGTCACAACCTGCTTATTCAACTTTAATTCTCAAACACTACATTTGCATTGAAAGCTAATCCTCCAGCATGAAATTAATGTTCCTGTTTCTGCCTCATTATCTCCAGGTTAAGTCGTGGTGTGTGCAAGCTGCCAGCATCAGATCATCGTCCTCAAAGTGTGGGGGCAAGAAGGAAAGATGTTGGGTGCCCCCCGGTGGAGACTGTTTACTGTGTGCAAAGTGCTCTCCGCTCTCCTTTCAGTGTTTGTTAGTTAATCACCATCTGCTGCTGCTGCAGTTAGTTGTATAGCAAGAGTGGAGAGGAAAGGTGAGTATTCTCAGTCAACCAGCTTCTCATGCAAATAAATGGTTTTAATGGCTCCACAGTGTGATGAACAAAAAAGCTTCAAAAATACTGGTTGACAGTTTGACTTGGTCCTGTCACTGAAGATTAGCTTCCATTAGCTACTACAGCACTGATGGGTGGGGAGGGTCAGCTGGTGTTGTGAATCAGGCCGCTGAAGTGTCACGCACGGCTTTTTCACAACACCAGGGTTCCTCCCTACTACTTCCTGCTAGGACACATCCACCACATGTCTCTGCACAATGCTGTACATTAGAATACAGCAAAACACAAAGTGTAAATGTACGAGTTACTAACAAGTTTTTAAGGAATGTCATTTCATTGTTAAACAGTAAATAACTATTAACTTGTGACTTATTACCAATAGTATCGTGTTACCTACCAGCTTTGGAACAGTTTGCTATTATCACTATCATCTACACTGTTGTGCCCTTTTGAAACTGAAAAAAAAAAATAATACATACATATATATATATGTATATTTTCTTGCCATGTTACACACAAAACTATTTAGACTATGGATCGTAATCTACTTTACAACTTTTGGACTTTGCAAAAGTCTTGGGCCACCCTACATTTCATTGCAATTCTAACAAGCTTGAAAGTCAACCCTTGCTTTGAGCACATTTATTCTTCAACACAGCATGAACTCTCTTAGACAAGCTTTCTTGTCATTTGTTGAAGTATTCTTCAGGAATACTTTGATAACTTTAGGCTCATTGAATGACATTACAAGCTCTTCTCTGGATGCTGGCTGTCTTTTGTTCTGCACTCATTCTTTCAACATGATCCCACACTTCAGTGAACAGCAGTGTTGGGTAAGTTACTTTAAATTAGTAACTTAGTTACATTACTAGTTACTTCTATCAAAAGTAACTCAGTTACTTCAAGTTACTCGTTACTTTCAGAGTAACTAGTTACTAGGGAAAGTAACTTTGGTTTTACTCAGAATTCTCTTGTTAATGTGTTGCTTCCATAAATGGATACCCAGCAAGATTGCCAGTCTTCTAGCTTCCTTACTTGCCACAAGTGCACTGTGCCACCTACCAATAGAAAGGAAAAAATAATGTGCACATTTCCACGAGAGAAATCCCACGCCTGATTCTATCCTAGCCTGCTTTTTACATCCAACACAAAAACTGCAGTCGTGGTGCTTTCGATTGTACTCAGAACTTGGAAATTCTGCCTTCTGAATAGGAAGATGTAGGCAACACCAGACTGAAGATGAGCTGCATACAGGGCTGGACTGGGACAAAAAAATCGTCCCGGGCATTTTGACTAGAGACCGGCCCACCATTATAGGAAAAATCATAAAGCCTTTGAATGAAAATAAACACTGTTGTGACAGTGATGTACACTGTTCTGATGGTATATATGTATCAATCTATCAATTGTTTGTTGTAAGACTCAGATAATAATTTTTTTAAAAGTGAGACATTTTAAATGAGAATAAGAAAGTATTTCCTTGTGCCCCCCTTTCCCTTTTAATGCCCTACATGGACCCCTGGCAACACTTTGCTAGACCCACCCCTGCACAGTTACCAGCTGTCAGCTACATAGAAAAGGATCCTGGTGTTATTTGTCTCTCAGAAACAGTCCATAACTTCCCTTCAACTCATTCATGTTAACTAAAAGGTAAACCTGTTTCTCCATCACAGCTCTGATGATTCAGTAAGGACCTCTCCTGGTTTCATCTTCATGTTTCCCTCTCACCAGATAACCAAACCAATATCATGACCAGCAGCTTTACAGCTGTGGCTCCAGCAAACATCAGTTGATACTAGAAACTAATATTAAATAAATTCTAACAACAGCTGATCAAGCTTAAAAGTGCTGCTGTTGTTTAGCGCGACATCCGCTGGTTTCCTCTTTCTGGCGCAAAGTGGATGATAAATAAACAAGAGGGAAAAGCCGATCAGCTGATCATTGATCAGTTTCATGATTGAAGTAGAAACAGGAGAGGGAGGGTGAGAGGATGAGAGAAGAGGAGGCAGCTGTGCAGCGCAAAGACAGAATAACTCCAGCTTTGTGTCTTTTTCATTGTAGCTGAAGTCCGGGACAAACTGTTCCTTTTCACCTAAATACGTAACACGTAATAATTTCTCTGAATACGGGACGATTCCGTTTTTTACGGGCGGTTGGCAACTCTAATAATTAACCTTATGAACAAAATAAAGTTCAACATCAGTAACATAGCACCACCCAGCTGTATAGAAACTCCGTCATGCTAGCTAGCACGCAGTACGAAAAAGTCAGCACAACGAAAATAAACTCCACCTAAACTTGGTTCATATCTGACCCAGATAGACTTCAGGTCATAACGTCTTACCTGAAGTTCAGTTCACCTGACACTCTCGGACCAGCGGCCGCTTCGGGTCTCTCCTCTTGCCTCCCTTTTCCTTCATCCACCTGCTGGCCTCCACCACTTGCTAATGTTACTGAATCTGTGGAAGCTCCGCGATAGCCACCACACGAAGTAACGAATAACGAGCCTATCTAAATCCCAGTAACGAGTAACGTGTTCCTGGTTTTGGCATAATAACTAGTTACCGTGCTCGTTACCACAATACTAACGTAGTTACTGTAACGCGTTACTTAATAACGCGTTAGTCCCAACACTGGTGAACAGTAGATGGATCACCAGGTGTCAGGTGCATCTCTCAGGTTCTGTATTAGGTCTTTGTTGGATTTGTTCCAGTTATTTAAGGGCATGACTTTCAGAATCAGTTTAACTGTTTCAGCCCTGCCACTTATGTTTTTGTGCTCTGTTTGTCCAGTTTCCTCAGATTTTTGCAGGACACACCGCATCTCATGTCAAGCTTTCACCACCTCTGGAAATATTATTTTCTGTCTGTCAAATTGTATTTTATTTGGCATTTTTCATAGTTTTAAATAAAGAAACAGGGTGGGAGGTTCTAATAACAATATGTCTGCGTAGGTTCATTGCTAAGTTGTCTGTTGTGTGTAGACACAACAATGGTTTTTCACTTGTACCTTTTTAGACAAGTGTCTTAAAAACATTCAAAAAATTCAGAAATCCAAAAATTCAGAAAATGATCCAGTGCAATGTCTGAAGAAAAGCTTTGAGAGACTTTCAGAAAGCCTGGAAAACAAAGAAAGAAAGAAAAATAAATAATAAAAACCAAAAATGGAAGTCTAGCAAATTGAAAGCAAAATTTCAGGAAATGAGGGGTGGCTAGAGACTTTTTGTATATATTTTTGTATCTCTTTTTTCTTCTCTAAAATGCTTGTAGGGTTGCTTCATGCAAGACTGTCAGTTTATTCTGAATGTCCTGGTGTAAGTAGTATTGCATAAGAGTGTAAAGAATAAAAGAATGATTTTGAACAAATTCATTTGTTAATTGATCTAAAGTCATTGGGAGTTTCTTTCATTTTCTTCTTTTTTCATTTACTATAATTCAATTATACTTCAATTTCACATTTAACATTTCTTAGAATAGAGACAAGCATGCTCCTCAGCATTTACTTTCATAGCAGTCTTGTATTGTCTTTTCATTTAATTTGTATTGCTACAGTACAGTCATGGCATAAAGAAAGTCAGTTTTAAGAATTTTCATATCAAGGCACAATAAAAACTCATTTGGTCGTCTATAGACCTCAGTTAACACATTAAATGTTAAAGCTCATGACAGTGCAATTAAAAAAAACTAAACTGACTTGTTAGGAATGGTTTCCAGGATGCTTGTTCTCGCTAAAAATGAAGATCGCAATACAGCTTAGATTTGCAAAGTTACATCTGTTACATCTGCAATTAACAAGATTTCTGGAACACTAATGTTTGGACAGACAAGTGGACGTGGTTGACCATAATGCACAGTGTGGCTACAACCAACCACAACAGTTTTTTGTGTGTGTGTGTTACTGTTCACTGGGATTGGGAACCACTGGACAGTATAAGGCAAGGGTGGGCAATTCCAGGCCCTGAGGGCTGGTGTCCTGCAGGTTTTAGATCTCACCTTGGGTCAACACACCTGAATCACATGATTAGTTTGTTACCAGGCCTCTGGAGAACTTCAGGACATGTTGAGGACCTAATTTAGCCATTTAAATCAGCTGTGTTGGGTCAAGGACACATCTAAAGCCTGCAGGGACACCGGCCCTCGAGGCCTGGAGTTGCCCACCCCTGGTATAAGGGAAAGAAAGAAAGCGAGTGGCCTTCTTTAAGTTTCTTGAAAACATTTCACCTCTCTGTCTGCTTCTTCAGTTCTAAAACCTTTGATTTTAAAGCCCTCCATGGCCTAGCCCCATCTTATCTCTCTGAACTGCTACAGCCTTATATGCCCACCTGCTCTCTGATCAGCTGATCAGCTGTTCCTGAATGTACCCAGGACTGAGTGTAAACTTAGAGGAGATCATGCTTTTGCTGTAGCAGCTCCAAAACTGTGGAATGATCTGCCTGTAGAGATTAGAAAGGCTCTTCTCTGCCTGTTTTTAAATCACTTCTGAAAACGCATCTCTTCACCTTGGCCTTGGCGCCTTGTGAGATGTTGGTTTTAGTTTATTATTATTTCAACTGTTTAAGTTGATTCCATGCTGTTTTATCTTGTTTTTTTAATAAAGGGCTGTTTTAATTTTATATATTATGTGTTTTATTTTTTGCTGTTTTGTTTTATTCTATTGTTCTTAACTTATTTACTGTACAGCCCTTTGGTCCTGTACTGGGTATTTTATAGCACTTTATAAAAGTTGGATTTGATTGGATTGGATCAGAAACCCAGTGTTGGTGAGGCCCAGGTATTTAATCCCTAGTAGGAGTTGTCCCTTAAGAGGGTCATTGACCCACTATTCATCATGTGCCTCACCACATGCACCAAGGTGTGAAAAAGGGTGTGGGTCATTATCAGCAGAGGCTTTGTGTGAAGAAATTGTGAGACCTTACCTCACCCTATCATATGACCCATTCAGATCACCTGACACAAGATGTGAATGGGGATTGAGGTGCCTGGAAAGGCACCTCAAACCTGATAGCTGGTGTTATTTGTGTCACCTGTGGTTTAATGCTCTGGTGGGCCAGATATGCTGTATATGCACTAGAGATTTAAGACACAAATCCATGTGTCTAATTAATAAAGCCAATCTATTTGACTGGATATTATTGAGTC